TTAAGTGGGATGTGTATGCCAAAACTCGTGTGAATCCTAGAATAATAGTCAGATAGCACTCCAATCGTCAAAGGCCATTCAAAAGCAGCAGAACACTTCCGGGCTCACAGTGTGACGGTATGCCGATAATTTGTTATTATATTAAAGTACACCTAAAATGATCGAGAGTTCAGATGAAATGTGATATATGACAGGCACATACCAGGTATCATACGACGCCAGGCTAGAGTCATATCTGCAATCGCAATTTACTTGCTTTAAATGTCCATAGTAGTCTTTCTCGTCTAACTGGGCAGCATCTGAAGAATTCCAGCACACAGACGCAGCAGTACGGAAAGACCCAGTCAACTGTAGACGTAGTGCTTCTCTACAGAACCTTTTATGGTCCAGAAATGGGCTTTAAATGGCCACCACACTGAACGTTATCTTGGATAGCATCAACTTTCCATATGCGATATCATGCGTGCAAGTAGCTGTTGTCATTCGCGCGTGCCCTCGCTTTCTTCTGATTTCTGTCATGTATTAAAGAGGAACAAATATGAAGCCTGACGTACCTGTAGACATATAAAACTTTATCCAAATTGAAGTACATAACATTATCTCTATTATGGGCCATATAACACAATCGGATAGAGCATGAGCGGCTGCTGTTTCCGACAGAGTTACACAAACCACGATGTGAAGTAACACATCAACGGCGTGTCTCTCTGAGTGCCACACACTTCTCGTGCTATTTATATACCAAATTCCAATGCTGAATCATCGGCGTATGCTGTCAGAAGGGACGTTATCGGAGAAGTTGGTATTGCCTCTTGACTGCATGTCACCAGTGACAAGATTTGTAACAAGCTGTGTTACTGTTAAAATCTAGAGTAAACGGTGTACTCACAATACGCTACGGATCGGAACGATCCAACGATTCGTGTGCACTTGCTGAGCTCTAATGGTTTTAACTTTACAAATTCAATGTGCTTGTCCACTTCCAAATTAAGTTAATTCCAAAATAAGTTACGTCCAAATTAAGCTACTTCCAAACTATTTCCCAATAAAGTTACTTTCAAATGAGGTTTCTTCCAGCTTTAGTTTCCGATTTGTTTATTGAGCTCCCTTGCTCTTCTTATGACTCTTGACTAATTCTTTGATCTTGCGCTTCTTCGTGTGGTCGCTGGAGATGCCCTCCCCCTCCTTCCCACCGATGATTGCGCGTTTCTTAGAGCTGTTCTTTACCACTGGAGCATCCGCCAGGGTATCTACAAACAAGTGAATTGATATGAGCTAATAGCGGACACTATGGAAACACTTGTCAGGGTATCTATAAATAAATAAGTTGATATGAGCTAACACAAATAAGTGAATGCATATGAGCTCATAGCGGGCACTATGGAAACCATATCATGTCATGTCATACTATAATCCAGCCTAGCGCTGTGTTGTTTTGTGTAGTACGCAAAGCGATACGAACATGATATGAACAATCGAAGAATAATGTTTCTATGCAATAAATGAGACCGAGTACGGCCGTGCGTTACATATGAACAAGTGGTGTTGTGCCGTGTGCGCGACGGACAGGTTTGCCACAGATTTGCTCTGTCACGTGTGATCAAATTCTCATATGATTACCTGGAATACTTACTCCATATACCAATTAAAGAAACAATTGCAGACTCGATTAACGGTACACTCACAAACTACACTTCAGCAGGGCTCGCGTAACATCGCTGTGCCTTTTGTCTCGACGAATTCTTACTGTAATAGCACTCCTCACCCATGAAACAAAGGTATCTGCAGCACTCACCTGCATCCTGTTGCGAGTTGTCGCCGGCTTTGTCCAACACAAAGAACAAATCGTTGAACCCGCCCTCCTCCATTTTCGCGGTTTCGGGCTCTGATTTGTCCTTCTTGTCTTTGTTCTGTGGTTTCGCTTGTTGCGTGGACTTGGCGTGTCCATTTCTGTTTTTGGGGTCTGGGGTATTCCAACACATGCAGTTCTGAGTAATCTTGAAATGTTTCGCAATATGCATGCATGCACAAGAATGTGTGCATCCACGGATACTTTATCTTTTCAAAAGACACTTTCCAGACACAGTGATGACTCCAAGACTTGTTTATGGCGATCGCATCACACTCGTAGAGAACGTTAGGCAACGCCACAGCCGAACGAGAGCACACCAACCCTAAACCCTGAACCTAAACCCCTAAAGCCATATACGACAACAAAATGAGGAAACACACACCACCAATCGCAATAAAATGAGGAAAACATACACCACACATCCCAACGAAATAAATATTCCAAACCATCAGCCACAACAATACACCTGTCCATGAACACAATAACTCGTGCAATAGATATCCTCACCGAATAGTGCTTTGGTGGGGTTGTGGGTGGTGATCTGAGGCAGGTTTCGGTCTGCCACGGCTTTGTTAATGCTGTCGTATATCTCGGTGCGTGTGGCCGCCCCTTTCTCTGAGAGTGGCTCTGTGGTCAGTATTGATACGTACGGCTCCAGCTTTGGAAAGTACTGTAGAAAGTATGCAGGTGGAGTGTGGATGAGTATACTCCTCCAAATCTCTTGTGCATCCCTTCAGCAGAATAACAGTACATGGCCGCGTGGCTAGCAACCCGCTTTTGAATCGTCTTGTGAAATGTACCATTTTGGCCTCTACAAGGAAACAAGTGCAACAAACGCATCGACAGGCTAATGGGAATGGAAGACGAGTACGGGCTCGGACTACCGACATGCCATTGAAGTTTAGTACAAAGGTCTGCTTCAATTTGCGAGAGCAGTGTATCGGATACAAGCACATTGACAGGCATAACATTATTCATCCCCAGCGCCTAAACACTCACTACAGCTGTAACCAACCTGTAGGCAGCCGCCTGCATGTTCACTGCAACAAGGACTCTCTACTGCATACTGCTCACACCCACCCTCACTTTCCTTGACTCCACACGTTGATATGAGTTTAACATGGTATTGATATTTTTAATTGCCAAGCTGCAAGGTGCCACGCATCGCAATCCACAACTATATCGTGCGGTACAATTATGCACACTTGGACATCCGACAACCTCGCTCTAACAGTTACCTTGTTTTTTAAGTACAGATATACTCGACGGAATACAGCACAACATGCATAGGTACAGACACACACAAACCTCCTAACAAAGATACACACTCCAACTCTCAATTAGTGACACATAGGTGATATAAACACCCGCGGTGTACATACCACTACATAATTGAGTTGTCGTTTGTACTCCTCGATATTTGCCTGCGCCTCTTGTATCTCCTCGGCTGTCGTCCCTTCGGCCGCTATCTTCTTCTCAGCTGCTGTGATCTTTCTGGTTATTTTTCTCCTCTCTACAGTGATTAGGAAATTATAGATAGACATGTCCGGCATCAGACTTTGTCGCTCCGATTTCAATACATTCAGGCCTCGCGAATGAATGTGAATATATATATATATACATATATATATATATATATAGTAGACTATAATAATACTACAACAACA